CGTAAACATTAAAGATCGTTCCTGAAAGTACTTGCTTACTCACTTCGAATAGACCGTTTGGCGTCGTAATCCAAGGGTTATCAACATATCACCCACACCCACTGAAGCTAGTTTATTGTTAGTGTTGATAGTAACCGGACACTTAAGAGACTTATTGACGTCTTACAATAGGGAAAGATACTTAGAAAAACAGTGATTTCATGTACAGTCCAGTGTCTAAATTATTTTATACTTAGTTCTAAGGTTTTCGCAACTGCGACTGTTACACATCGGAAATGAAACTATTTTTTTAGATCTGGTCTGATCTATTTTAACCTACTACGACTACGACTATGAGCCGTGACCATGGGACCCGTGAAAGAGACAAGCACAAAAAAATGTTTCATACCAATTGTTCCCTTTTTATTGTTGGGTAAATTTTTTGAATGCATGATATTTTCTCATTGGGCGTCTCTCAAATTTATCAGGCCTTTACCAACTTTATAATAGCAAAATCTTAAATAGTATTAAAATACTCTTAATTCTACTGTCAAGTCCGTGTTATCGTTGAGACTGTTCTATTATAATATTTATTATTTTTATTATTTACATAACAAAGTTTAAGGCACATAACATATCAAAATTGTATTTCCTAAAATTCTAAAATCTACTTAAATATAGGCGAACACATATACTTAAAATTAAGAGATTTATAATAAAAAGGTAAATAATGAAATCGCAACTATTTTGAAGTTGTGAGAGCATAGTATCTTGTCATCGTTTAACTCAGAGCTTTTATTGTTTATGTGATAGCCCGGCGAACTCAATTCCACGTTGTAATGGTCACTGAAACTTAGCAAAGCATTATCACACAAAATCGTGTTAATGGTGACAAGAGAGATTTAAAAAATCGCCGAACCTAAAATACAACAAAATTACGCTTTAAATGATATAATTCCATATAATATATTAATATCATTTATAGATTGTGAAAACGATTAGGAAATAACTTTATTTGGTATTAGAATGAATATATTATAAAATTACTTTACCCGCTAATTGAAAAAAACAGTGTTACAAAGAACTCTACCTAGCTTTTCTTCTACAATTTTGATTTGATTGATTCTCCGGAAGTATTATCGAGAATTGCACATACTGTTCCGCGTCCCAACTCAAGCAGGCAAATTAGCCACCCTATTCACGTGCTCTTATCCAGGACAAATTTAATAAGCCATTCCCCGGTACCCAGGAAGCTTTCCAAGCACAATAGTCTGAGTAGTCGTGTAGACCTTGTCATATATTTTGACAGTTAGTCATAAGGCTGGTTTAGCAGTGCGGATTTATCTGCGGACACGTGTGGCGTTAGAATATCGTTTTACAGTGACCCGGATTGCTCCGTACAGAACATGCTCCGCGTGAACTTCGCACCAACCACCCGTGTGTTCATTTTAGGTGACTGTCTTCCGTGAATATCCGCAATATATTAAATACTTGATTCAGAGGATTGAGAATTCTACGCATGCGGATGGCCCGCAGACGGACTGTCCGTACACACAGCTATGAAACCAGCCTAAATCATGTTTTTTATACTTTTCAATAGCTTTTTATAGTTTTTACATGAAGTTTTAATTGGGTGATAACAATAAGAATTAAATGTATATTTGAAAGGTTATGTAATCATTTTTAAACATTTCACTTTTTTATATTGCAAGTGATTATGAGAATAATGTTTTCGGTTAATAAATATTGTAATTGACTTACATACACAGTAGTATTGTGAAATAGTAAGGTATGTAAACGTTAAGTGTATTAAGCTGTTGTTGAACCAATTAATGAATCAATAAATAAGACGATCGACATTACAAAGTTATAATCAATGAATTAGGAAATAAGTCAGTGTGGGAACCACGTGATGCCCTACATCCAATTTTAAGGAAAATATAACAAGCCGCTACATAAACGGGGTTCTAGGCAAAACGTTGATAAAAAATAATCGCTCTTTGCACAACATTATGAATCACTCTTTTGTGATACAACAGAAAATTACGAGTAATGAGGCCTTTTTAATGTACGGAAATGCCTGATCTAAATAAATACCACCCCGCTTCTGGCACAAATATTTATTTCCAATTAAAATTCAGGAAAACTAAATCCATAATAGTTTTGAAGTAAAGAGTCTTGTATCGTAAGTGCGGTAGGCGGCTTACAATCAATGAACTTTCTGATATGTTGCCTGTTCATACAGTCAGTGTTGAGAAATATAAAACATAATTTATCTGTGATTAATTATGTATATAAAACAAGCTATATATGAAATAAATGTTTATATCCCTTCGTCATCAACATTACTAAGCAAACACACAATTTGAAGTTATGACAGCAAAGTTTAAACAGCTATCTAAGCACACATACATCATTACAACAAATTACGCATGAACCCATTAATTAAAATAGTGATAAAGCTAATAAATATTGTTTAAATAACAAAGTGTGAATGACAAAAGATAGACTTTGGAACTCAACGGTCAATATAAATTGTATGTTGTAGAGTACTGCCACTGACCTTTTTTTAACTTATTATTCTAACGTAAGCTTGGAATAAAACACTAACTTCAACATTGTTTTCCGTAAAGTCTACCTCTACTTGTACAAAAATGTCTACTAGTTTATTTACTTCTATTTACTGTGGTATTTTCCCTATTCACAACAACAAGATGACAGGAAAAGTTTAGACAAATGAATACATATGCGATAATCTCATTTGCGTAAAATAATGGAATAAAACAAGAAACAATTAATAATGTCTCAATTCATGGCCGAAGATATGCGATATGTCCATCAGAAGAGATGGAGATCAAATGCGCACTCATGTTAACCATAAAAATTCATATTCAATACAGAAAAATCAAATGAAGAGAAAAAAGACAAAAATACCTATCATTACATACCTATCACACCTTTCTCCCACTGGGGCATGCAAGTCAGTTTGCTAAGCTCACGACACAGTACTTTACCTTCCTCCACTGGCATCACTCTTTTCATATACGCCTTAACATTCTTGCCACTTTTATCCTGGCCTTTTTAAAGCCATCCTCAATCTAGTTGAAATATGTACCCCAAGACTGATCTTTCTCTCCTTTGAGATACTATTGCTGTAAACTGAAATAAGTTCCAAACGTAATTTGCCATGAAATAAAGGCATTACAACTTTATCATGTAAACATAAATTCAAGAAATGTAGAGCTCTACTCGGGGAGTGAAGATACTTCACTCCCTGCTATATTTATATTGAGATATATTTGACGATCCCAGCGAATTGTCTCCCTATTGTAGAAAATAATTTTTTTATCAATCACCTTTCGTTCCAGTCTGGCGTGGGGCCCAATCCGCCAGCATACCGCTAGTGCCATCTCGCATAGGTCACCCAAGAATAATATCCCAGGAGACGGAGATGAAGCCCGTGGTGCGGGAAGGGGTGCCGCCGCCGCTCTGCGCGGGGAGATGCGCCTCACCCCCTGCGGGTCCTGTGTGTGCATTCGACGCAACTGGCACAGCTAGAACATTTGCTACGCTATGTGAACTGGAAGCAGTATCATGCCGTGAAAGCACATGTAAGTATGGTCTAATATTGATATTTGTTGTACAGACGGCAGCACATCAAACTATACACTGACAGATCTTGCTGCGTTGCACTGTAGGCGATATTCGAACAAAAGCGTATTAATGTGTACCAAATTCCCGGGTTGGGAGAAATATTTGCATGGCCTACATTTATTTCTCTCGTGACTTTGGGTATAATTTGTCTATGTGTGTATCCATGGCACCCACGACACAGGGTTTACCTAGTGTTGAGTGTGTGCGTTATTGTTATTATTATTATTAATGTGCTGTTGGCTGTATTTGTGAGTCAGAACTAGGTAATTTCTGTTTAAGAGTTAATTCACCTCTAATCGTGATCTCTGTGAATTAAAACTTGCCGAAACGTGGCGATTATGGCATGTTCTGATTTTTTGGAGAAGTCAAATGTTCATGTTTTCATAGGCAATTGATATGGACCTATATTCATATTCAATCACGTATTTGTTCATAACATTTTCAAATCTTGTGTATGTGTAAATTAAGTTCTAATAAATTGTTTTACATCTTTTCAGACTACGCAATAACCAGCTTGGGCGAATGTTGACCTGCCGCACAATGTGAATAAATTACGTCAATATAACCAAAAATGATCCAATTTGCATACATTTAACGTATTTATATACCATTATTTTATTAAATGTTACGATATTAAGACGAAAATATTATCAATAGTATTTCGTGAAGTATTCGTTTTGGTAAATGTCTAAAAATTCTAAATATCTAATTCAGTTTCTTTCTCTTTTCAAAGAATTTGTTTTGTTTTAGATTAGGTAAATATATTGATGTAGTGTTAAGTTTATTTTAATTTATTGTACAAAGTACTAACATTACGGTTTTATGTCGTTAGCGATCAATAGTTTTACTAAATAAATTTTAATTGGAAACGGAAGTAGTTTTATTAAATTTCACTTGTCCAATTACGTAGCTATACTTACCTGCCATACCACAGATTACTTAATAGTTATATGTACCATACTTCCAAGTTGTAAAGAGATAAAATACTTAGTATTTAATAGCACAAAAAACGCAATTCCCTGTCTGTTTTAAAACTAACTTTGTTTTATAATAGGAAATGAAACTATTTTTCCGGATTTAAATCGCGTATATTTGTTTTTTCAAACAAACCGACGTTTCGGGCCCTTTACAGGTCCCATGGTCACGGTTGACTGTAAAGGGATGGGATCTGTAAAGGGCCCGAAACGTCGGTTTGTTTGAAAAAACAAATATACGCGATTTAAATCCGGAGAAATAGTTTCATTTCCTATGTGTAACAATCGCGAAAACCTAAGAACTCGATTTGTTTTATAATATCAAGTGACGGGACGAACAAGTCGTGGTGCGCTACACGCCTGTCCATAACTCAGAGCATTCACTCGCAAAGATCTGAGGAACACTGCCAGAGCTCCCGTCTCCCTGGGACATAAGTTGACAAGTGCCATGTGCCAGTAATTTCACCAGCACCCTAAGCCTTCAAAACCGGAGCGCAGTAATGCTAACATTACTTGGCGGCAGAAATATGAAAGGTGGCTTTACTTCCCAAACTCATTCACATCGAGCTCTACTGCTGCTAAACTAGCAATGGAAATGGCATCTACGACCTTCAACGAAACGGGAGCCAGCGCAATATAGATTATTCGATTTTCTGAATCATTCATGTAGCGCAGCTGACGATGTTATATATTCTGTGTGCCGCTGAGTTGTCAAAACCTATAAAGTTTTCTAAAATTGCTTCGCACCCAAAAATATAGTCTGCGTAACGCCCACAGACATGTGGTAGCGCCTAACGATAAAGCAGCGATGGCTACTCTCTCTTTATTTCGTGTGGAGGAAGCTCAGAGGTGAAAACAATAATTAAGAAAATTCTGATGATAAAATCTATATGACCGAGAGATGCACAAAACTCGACTAAAGACATAACTTTCTTTGAAGTTGCATAGACTCACAAAAAACGCGTATCTCTTAAATTACCTATAATCTCAGCAAAGAGTACTAAAAAACCAACTTCAAAAGTCATTCACCTCCTAGTTTAGTTAAGTATGTGGATATTCTTCATAATTATTATCTATGTCAATATACTTTAATATAATATGCTACTGCTGTCAATAACTATTTTGTTAGAATGTCTATTATGTACCTAAATAAATTTGTTTGTCCTATTTCTACGTTTCTAAGAAATAAATGATTCCTTATAAAACCGGTAGTCATTCGATGCGTAGTCCCACTTAAAGTCTGTTATCTTTATTGTCCATATTGCTTCTTAGTGCTTCTACAAATAGCTTTACGTACTTTGACTTGTCGATCAACTCCGATTGTAATACTGGAAATAGAATTTCTATATTTGTGTATCTTAGAAATTTCTCTATCACAGTATGTTTAATATATGTAAGGTTATTTAAAGGGGTATTTGTACAAAATAAAAAAGTCGATTCATATATCATATAGACAAAATTAATCAACTACAATTCTGAGCTTTATTTAATGACCATAACGATTTGTATGAGTAATGAATTATCTTCGAGATAAATGTTAATGTTTTATTATTTGTAGTTGATATAAATTCACTTTTAACTTAGAAAAAATTATAAAAACTATTATAACTGCATTTAAAGGTCTGATATATATATATATACACTCCGTTTTAATAAAAATGTTAGTTGTGCCGTTTTTCGTTCCGAATTGTCTTTATAATGGTTGTAAGCGACACACCAACCAATAACTATTTTGCAATGACACAGAGCTTTAAACCCCAAAAAATTTGAGTGCACCTAGAGACAAATTTGGTAAGTACCATGTGCCTGCAGCATGAGTACTAAGTTATCAATTCATACAAATTAACTTTAGTACGTATTTAAAACTGTAGATGGCGAGACTTGGAAAAAAATGTAAATCTATTGAAACTCGAAAATTTGAGCTACATAACATTATGTATGTATAGTAAATAAGAAGTATAAAATATAAAAAAATAATGCAAAACTATTTAAACGAAATTTTAGGAATGTTCAATTAAAATTCATTTACAATTATGTAAATTGGTGACAACTGTCGTTGATAAGATAACAAATCGAAGGTTTCTCAATACTTTCGACTTGTTAGTTTCCAATAAATTGTATAGATGGCATTTCTTTGAATTTATTGTCGAAGCTAAGCAGCGTTTTAGCACTGACTTTTACTTTAATATATTAAAATTACAGACTCAGCTTCTTTGCTATTTTATTATATGTTATTTATATATAATCAACGCCTGAACAAGGGCCAGAGCAATAACCTGACAAAATTGTACTTGCTGCCATCTGTCGGCCTTTTCGAATAATAGTACAACCGCATCGCGGGTTTACTCGTTACCATTTCGCACCCTTAGTAATATAAGGGCACAATCCAAAAAAAGTAGATTTTTGGAAAATCGCGTATTAAGATTCTGGATCCCTACATTACACCTATTTTTTCAAATAACATGCTTATGCCATATAGTACAAAAAATATAACAGAAATATGCAGTTATTTAAGTTTGATCCCATTTATTATTTAAGTCCCTATCAATTCCCAAATTTCCCAAAAATCTACTTTTTTTGGATTGTGCCCTTATATTACTAAGGGTGCGATTTATTGATCAGCACGCGATAATAATCAAAATAAGCGTTAAAAATAAGTGGAGTTACGAGTGCAACATTAATTATTAGTTTGAGATTATCTATCTGTACTAGTATAGTATTATAATGTCTGTGCCCGTAGTTTCATCAGCACCTTTCAAAACCGAAACGCAGTAAGAAGCAGTAGCAGAAATAGGTAGGGTGACAATATTTCCCTGGACGAACTCTTTCACAAGGCGCTCTACTGCTACTTGAAACTTTTCTAAATCTGACCCAAGCTGTATTCATAATCGCGACACAATTATTAAAAATACTGTAGATTAATCTTTCGTCACGTATAAGAAAAATAGAAATAATAGTTATAATGTTTTTATTTACTTCATGCAGACTGGCTTTAAATGCAAAAGTGCAAGGGTAAATAAAGAACTGGAACTCGTACATGGAGAAGACAATTTAATCGAAATTAATTCAAAATCACACATTAAAAATAAATCGAAATAATATCAAAAATTTTAAAATCTTTTAACCTTAATACGTTTTATGATAAAATCACAGTGATAAAAGGGTTAGTTACACATGAATACAAAATAATGTGTATTGTGGTAGTCATCGAAATAAATATGTATGTTTAAAAAGGCATAATCTCTATATCTAACTACGGTTTTTTAAATTAAATATAATTTGGATACACTTCGAATAAACAGGTGTACGTGGCCGTCCAGAATATCATGAAAAATAATCGAATCTCTTTTAGAATGAATGAAAATTAGAAAGAGACTACTGAAAATCTAGTTCTTCTTACAACCGCTAGAGGTCATGCTAACATTTTGATACAAAATTCTTAAAAATTTAATTATTCGGCACTCGGCAGCGGCAACGCCATAATCGTATCTGCGTCTCTAAAGATTGGAAGTGAGTAAGCAATTAACAATCCTTCCAAAAAACATTGTCATGAAATTCTGTTCAACCTGCAGATTATAATTTGTTTTTCGCTGTGTTTTATTACACTTGCTTAAGACAGACGGATACCATCGGAACCGGGGCACTCGCCGTTGCTGATCTTACTGAGGGCTGGAAACAAAAATGAAATTCCATTTACAAAATCATTCAAATTCCATTTACAAAATCTTTTAAAAGAAAAAATAAATAAAAACGAACATTTCATGTGGAATAGCGTGTATCTAAATTAAACAGATTTATTATAATAAAGGTCTCAAGAAGTCAGTACCTACTGAAACTCATTTTTGATATAATTGATTTTTGCGCACTTTATTGTCACCCTAAAGTGTCAATAGATTATTAAAAAATATGCGTAGATAAATAACACAGACTAGATATACGTCTGTGATAAATAACATCAAACATAATCCAATCACTTTCATATAATCAACTTAGATCTATAAAACCATGCGGTCGATCAGTTGTACTCAATTTTTTCTATAATATATAAACTACAATACGAAGTCATCTAATCATTACACATACGCAAAATGACATAAAAACACAAGTGCACAATTCTGTACGATCCTTAGACAACCTTGATATAAGATGATAGGTAAATATTCATTTGTTGTTAATAGAATCTGCACATAATATCGTTCTAGGAATAGCTATGGTTTTTTAAAACAATAAGTGCTAAAATTGAGGAAAATACGCTATGCCCAAACACAAGCGCTTTTTTAACACGTTGACTCATGGTCCTGTTGTCAATTTACATCGCAGTAACAATGGAAGAACATTAAACCAGTTACTTCACGCTACACTCGGCTGCTCGACTATTACAGTGCCACAATTTTAAATAAGCAGTTGAAAAACTATGGAAATAAGGCTTCGCGCGATAAATCAGCTGACCATTTGATAGCAGATTTTTCTGTCAATGATATACCTATTTTTGTAGGCATTGATTTCCACACATTTACTGTGAATTTCAACTATTGTATTTTACAATTTTAGAGTGTACAGAATGATTACGTCCCTAAAGTTTTTTATTGACATGACATGACTTTTGTTCAACTAAAATATAGAGATTTAAGTTGACACCGGGAAAAACTTATATTAAACTTACAATCATTGAACTCCGGATGTGGCTTTACTTTTTAGGGCTAAACTTTGGTTTAGTATAAAAAAGTTAAGAAAAATTTAAAAAATAATTTAAACTTTGCTCTGATAGTACTCCAGCAGTATATAGATAATCGTCTGTTATAATCATAGACTACTCACATTTTTGTACCTACGTACTTGAAGTTTGTAGGTAATATAGTACTAGGTACGGTATGCTGAAGGCGTTAGTTCGAATTCATCCCGATCAATTTAATTTTTCTTAGTGTTCGATAAAGTAGTGAAGTAATTTCACAAGGAAATAATTGAATATCATAGTATTAAATCATCGTGATATTCAATAAACTTAACATTGCAATTACTAGCGACATCTCTAGTCAGCCGCTGGTAGCTGTGAAGGTACCTGGCTGAGTGAAGAAAAACTTTCATAAATTTAGTACATGTTAACATCCGAAGATTCCGTAGTTATCATGAACATTATACAGGACATTCAAATGAATACAATTTAATATGAACTCACTGTCTTTATGCTCGCAATTGTAGTTGTTCATAACACATTCGCTGCCGAAGGACTTGGGTTTCTCTCCCTGCTTGCCAGCGCAGACGGGCTCGAATTTGACACTAGTGCAGTCGCGCGTGCAAGCCTTCTTCCTTGCTGCCTCGGCTTTCAGCTGCTTCAAGTCCGGTTTGTCAGGACGGCATGTTACCGCCACGATCAGAACAACTGGAAATGAATGATTCACCAACATTACGTTCGAATTATGTTATTGATATGATACTACCTAAGTGGCGGGACGAGCAAGTCGTGCGCCTGATGGTAAGCGACACGCGTGCCCATAACAGTCGCAGTGCTACTCAGAGCTTTAAATCGCTCTGAGACGTAAGTTGAAAAGTTTGCCTGTAACAATCACCGGGCACCCTCATTACCTTCAAAACCGGAACGCAATAAACCTCACATTACTACTTGGCGGCAGAAATAGGTAAGGTGTAATGTATTATATAAAAAGAAAAACTTAAGAGTATACTATCTCAGCTCGAATTCAAAATTTTCCCGTACCAATACGGTTCATTTTGCTTGGGTCGAGCGGCAGAGACACTGGCTTCATTACAGAATTATTTTGTTTACAAACTAAATTAAAGCCATTTCAAAAATATGTATAAAAAATATACCATAGTATATACAGTACAATACAAGACCAAAATTCTTTATTGTACACCAAAAAACGAAACAAATACAATACAATGAAATTAAAAATAACCGGTGGAACAATGGACGGTCTTATCGCTTTAACCGATTTCTGCCAGACAACCTTTGGATAGAAGTAATTATATAATTCACAGGAAAAGGACGGCGGTGTATATATATATATATATTATTTTTTTCATTCGAAATTTTACAAGAA